GCAACAAGATGGTGCACCACCTTAGTGGGGTACCATCGTTCGTAGTTCTTTGAACGACTATTTTACAGGAAGATGGATTGAGCGAGGAAGTCTAATTCCTTGACCACCCAGATCACCTGATATAACGCCGCTGGACTTTTTCCTTTGGGGATTTGTAAAGGACGACATTTACAGGAGGAGAGTGTCGAATATTGATGACCTAAAAGCCAGAATTACAACCGCAACAGCCTCTGTGGATGTCGACATGCTTGCCGGTACCTGGCGTGAAATTGAATATCGACTTGATATTCTCCATGCGACGAAGGGGGGCACACGTGGAAGTTCATTGACAAGGGTCATGAAACTTTTTTAGTCTATCTAACCATTTATGCTATTATTTTTAATATATCTTTATTATTTTATGAGTTATCAAACATCAAAATGGGCCCGGGACTTTTTAAACACCCTGTATATTCTAAGTCCTGCTTTTGAGACACAAAAAATGCAAATTAAATTTCGTCATTCGGTCCAAAAGAACAGGAGATATAGAACTATCCCTCTTTTTTTGTGCACAGAGTGTAAATATTTTAGTTTATGCTATACATTTATCTCAGAAAATAATTTATAAAACTACTTTCAAATGGTGTCTTTTGCATGCAATTATTTCAGTCTACCACAGTCTTACTAGCCATTTCTAACACTTCCAAGCAAAATTTAGCACTTGCTGATTTTTTATTCCAGCAGCATATAAATCTGATTGTTGTAGTAAATGGCAGATGACTACTCTCGAACTAATTACTGCTTAGAATGCCGATGTGTTTGTTACACTTTTGCATGTTGCATTTCCAAAAAGGTTGCTTTCCAAAATATATCATCTAATGTGAATCTGAACATTCCCAACTTTGTGGCAAAATATTATACGCCTGTCAAAATTTTACAGAACTTTCTTCATTTTCAGGTATATCTCACAAGCACATAATCTAAAATTCAGCTGAAGACCAAAAGTATTGCAACTTGCCTTTAGAACTTCTAATACAACCAAAACAGTATGGACGAAAACAGCATTGTTGCTTATTCAAACTTACAGTTATCGATATAGCTACTTCAAAGATTTTTATGTGCAATGGTTGCCACAGTTTGGCAACTTCTACCAAGGTAGTTACGATAATACCAAAGTAATGCATTGCATTGATTTAAATAAAAATGCATTTCATTTTTGATATATCTAATTTAAAAAATTTAATATTTTTTCACTTCTCAAACAGAACCATAAATATTGTTCCCATGTTCACCTAAATATATATCCATTTAGTATCCTGTAAAATGATTCGCTGTTCCACCTGGGCCATCTCTATTGATAAATCATACTAAGCTTTAAAAGGTCCCTTTGGGCTGTAAGGATTATGTTAATTTTATTAACAGTTAAATTTTAAGTTAAACTTCCTTTCCTATCACTTCTTAATTCCAACTTATCACTTCCGGCCAGAATGCAGTTTTAGAATCACGTCTAAATGTAAATTGAGGAAAAGTGGTATTTAATCGAGAAATTCTACTGCCTTAGTCAGAGAGGACCAGAGATTCTGGTTAGCATGCATCTGCCTTTTTAGGCTACTTTCACTTAAGCTATTATTACACTCGGCTGTACTTTAGGTCCTTAATAGCTTCGCAATCTATTAGCGTTAAGGGCCAATTCCATTAAAAGTTCGATAGCTTTGGCTTATCTCTTTATTTAAGATAAGATTAGTTTAATTCTTAGTCTCTTAAGTTCAAGCCTGAGTGTCAGCTTTATTGTACAACTCCAAGACGGAGTTCTGTTAAATCTTATTTGAATAAGAAAGGGTTTTATAACCCTTTCCAAGTTTATTTACTGTCTCACGAACTCAAGTGATTATTCACTTACTAGTTCTTTAGGTTCTTCCCATTCAACTTAGAATTACACAGTGGTGAATCCTACAGGGCAACCATGAAAATCAGAATCTAAACTTTATTTAGTATACTAGTGTTTGCATTTCATGAATTAATTTATTCATGTACTATTTACATGAAATCATGTTAAAATACTTGGTATTATCTACAGTTCAATTAATTATAATAGGTTCTGGAATTGATTGGCCTCAGAGAAAAGAAAAGTACTATAGCATTTATAGGAGCAATTAGCATCACATTAAGAATATGAATAAAGAACAATTTTGGAATATTCAGGTACAATATAATTTTATAAATATATTTTGGTTATTTATAAAAGCAGATTAATACTACACTTTTTGAAACTTTTAATCAAATTTGCAGAATTTTCCATTATAGTGTCTCCCACAATTCCATTGCCTGCTGAAAGGTGTGTGTGTGTCAATTGCCTACTGGTCACCATTATATTAAATGTATTGTGTTCATCTCTTATAACAATATTCTTAAGTTGTTTTCAAAGAAAGTTAATTATTGCATATCTTTTCTTATTTATTGAAATCACTGATCTAAGCTATTGATCTCAAACTCAAATTGCATGTAGCCTAAATGCACAATCTAAACACTACTGATTGGCCATATTTTTATTTATTTACTTTTTTTAACAAAATGAAAAATTTTATTAGCAAAATAAAAGATATTTTGAACAAATTTTAAATTTTGCTTACAAAGTATTTGTCAAAACATACATAAACAAGAGCAATAATAATATCACAAAGGAAAAAAATTCAAATTTATATTTATTTTTTATATGAAATCTAAAGTCTGATACCCAAAAGACATTTCTGTTTGGCTACAATTTGTAATTCAACACAATAAGATCTTAATATTAAATTTTCAGACTGACATTTACTTCAAATTAAACTAAAAATAACGAATTATGAAAACTTTCTATGTTTTCACAGAAAACTATCTAAGTGAGACAAAACGTGAGAATAAATAATGACAACTTAGTCTCTTTTTTAAATTTTTCAGACACATGAATAAAAATACATATGTCTGTATAAATAATTATAAACTTCTTCATATCTTACTACAACTTGACCCATGATGGCATTTTGATTTTGATACTGTTTGTAGCTTTGGAGGGATTATTAGAAATGAACTACATCATCAGTTGTAGATGCTCATCAGTCAGTTAGGTTCTCGTTAATTTTCAATAGTGAAGTAAAAAACAAAGCTGCTTATATATAATAAATGCCAAACAAGGTGATTATCTTTAGTGCAAAATTTCCTAACTCAAAATATTTTTTGGACAGATATGACTAAAAGCTAATCAGATCTGTATCTTGAAAACTTTAAACAAGATTAGTATTACTTTGTAAATTAATTAGGTCCACTTGTATATTTTCTGGTGCATAATTCACATTTATTTTTAATGGTAAATAAAATAGTATATAAACTAGGACTGAAAATAACTAAAATCTTGAAATTTCTGCAATAAACATACAATTAAAATTCATTTGCAGGCCACATAAAACTGCCTTAGGTACTGCATTTGGCCCATGGCCCACACTAGAGACTAGTGATCTAAAGAATACATTTCTTATGGTCGGAAAACATTTTAATTCAGTTAAAGTTGAGATGATAAGAAAGTATACATATGTAAGAAAAATAAAGAATATACAGTACAAAGTCCGTAATCCGGATGTCCATTATCCGGAATGATCTATAATCCGGACCTCAAATCCACAAACTTTTTTATTTTTGTATGCTTTATGCATGCGCATAAAGAATGCACATACATTACGCGCATGCGCATGTTGAAAGAAATTTTTAATAAAGTAAACAAATAAATATTAAGCTTTTGTTTTTGTAAAATTTGATACCCTTTAGATCATAATTGCTCTTTAATTCATAAATTACGGTTTCATATTTTTAATTGTATAATTTCTGCATGCCATCTTACCAGATTTAAATTGATGATCTATAATCCGGAATCGCCGAAGTCCCGATGAGTTCGGATTACGGACTTTGCACTGTATAAAAGATTAAATATGTAAGAAAAATAAAGAATATGTAAAAGATTAAATTAGCAGCATAAATTAATTTTCCTTCTCTATTCTAAAAATAGCAACATCTATTCACACTGCGTCATTTCGAGAAAAATCTATGTCATATGACTCTTATGTAATTCTGGTGAAGTAAACTGAAGTATAACTCAAGCAGCCAATAATAATTTTATAGCAATATTAACTATCCAATCAAAATGCTTTGAGAACCAGAACTAACGCAGTTTGGCTTAAGATTTTATCTTGAACATTACGCACTTGCTTTCTACACTTTGCCCTTGCTGGCTTTTCTTGCTACAAAGTCTGCTGCTGCTGCTTTTCTTGCTACAAAGCTATCAAAAATGTAAGCCTTTTGGAACAGTCACATTTAATGTGTCGACTTGCATGTCGCTGAAAATAAAACTGAAGATTTAATCTGCCTTCACCTCCAATTTCCTAGTCATTATGGATCAGCACTTCTATGCCATCTAAATTCCTCCTCCTGCTCTTCAGTTACTTCTGACTTTGTTTTTATTACATATATATATATATATATTTTCCTCATGAGTATCAAGCTGGCACATAAATTGCTTGGCATGTGTTGTCCTCCCCCCCCCAAAAAAGTCTTATGTATTATTAACCAGAATTCTTTCATCAGAAGTATCAGGCTAACACATAAACTGTTTGGCATGTGTGTACTCCAATGAAAAAGAATCAGTTTTTTTTTTATCTTATGTATCATTAATCAGAATTCTTTATTACTTATTTACTTTTATATATTTAATCAAATGTCATTTGAAACCAGATCAAATGTAACCATAGATTTTCAAATTAAATTATCCAGCTATTAAGCTTCTTCGGTTATTCCAATATCGCTTAGACAGAGCTGTATTAGGAGAGATTCAAAGAAATGCTTTCGATATTTACACAGTATGCGCATAAAAATGCCTTGTAAGGTTGAAGATAGTGATTTTTAAAAATTCAATTAATTTAGTTAATATTTAAATCAACATAACAGTAAATTTATTAGACTTAAAAATATATCCATAAATTAAAGATTATACATACTTGCAGATTATGAGGAATCATGTAACCTGAATTCTTTAACTTTATATTTGCTGAAGGATTTGATTTTGGCTTCCATACAGCAGAGGACTGCAATCTCTGAAGGTTTTGTCTTAAGCTTTCTTGTATCAGTTGTTTCCTTGATCCTGAAATTACATGCACATACAAATAAAATTAATTACAAAATCATAGACACACCAAGACCAAAATGCCTTGCTGCTGCTTTGTTTCCATGCACTTTGGCGTAGTTTAACACTTCTAGTTTATACTGAATTGTATACTTAATCTCTTGTTTCCTGTAGCCATATTTTCCAGGGTATTTTTTAAAACAAATAGTTTTAAGCACCGACACATTTATACAGAGTAGCACCAATACCGACACGTGTGTTGGCTGAGTCAAAGAAAGTCTATGTAAAGAAGGAAAGGCTCCATAGACGTAATGTGACCGTCAAACCTGTTCGAACTTTCACATCAGCTTCGAGCTTTGGCACTTTTCGGCGACAGATATTTCACGCATGTGCAAAATAATTATGGCAGATGTAGAAAACGTTATGTGTGTCTAGACCTTTATCCAGGCTAAAAATAGCATTCAGTATTGAAAGAAAAATTGTGTCCTTCACGTATAAGACGCAGGTAACGTTTTTAGACCAAATTTAGGAAAAAAAGTGCGTCTTATATACCGTCAAATATGGTAATTCTTGGATGTCCTGGATTGGTTATGCAAGAGGATTCAGCGAGTTCATCTGGAAGCATGGATGGAGAGGGATTTCTTCTAGTTGCATGGCAATGTAGCTGCTCACACAGCTGGAGTTGTGCTATAGTTTCTAGGGGGGAAAAAAAAAAAAATGTCAGATTTAGTTACCCTCCATATTCATCTGATTTGGCAGCAAGTAATATTCTTTTCTTATTCTCAAAAATCAAAATTCGCATGAACGGTCAATACTATCACAAAGTAACTGACATCCAAGCCATACACCGACACATAAGTTGAATAAACATCCAAAACAAGGACTTTTCTGACAGTTTCATATGGTTATAAGAATATTCTGTGCATTGTACTCAGGTGATAGTAGACTATATATAGAACACCTGAAGCATTAAAATTATCATCTTAAGTTTTCTCTAGTTTTCATTAATCCAGTCTCGGAAGCTTTTGGATAGACAGTATAGAAGAGGTAGACTAAGCAAGTCTTTTATAATTAGACAATGTTTAATCTTAAGATATAGAATGATTTCCGTATCTGCATTTATCATCTACAGACTTTTTAAAAACTCCATCAAGGTTGCTGAATAAATTTCTGGGAAGAAGTAATGTAATGTTTTCTCCAGAGGTGGCAGGGGAATTGTCGATGTAGTTACACAACTCTGTTAGTGCAAAGAGAGTAAGATCAGCACGATGGACATACACTTGAGCTTTGAAAAGCAAAAGCAGGTTATTAAATGGTATTGGAAGTTTTAAAATGTTGGTGAAGATCAGACACAGAGCAAATATGATTGAGGGACTGATCCATCTACAAGATTAACAATTACACATTTCAGCATGCACAGAAAAGTATGCAATGTGCAGAAAAGCTAATCAGGTTGACCTCACATGGCTACAAGTGATGAATCTTCAGTTACAGAACTAGAACTGTTTCAGCATTCACAACAAAAATCTTTAAAACAAGGGCCATGCGAGAGTGGTGTAAGAGTTAGTAGTGTGCTATGCATTCTGAAGAAAGGGAAGTTGCATCCAAGGCTGGTGAAACAGCTAAGTGACAATGACCAAGATCGCTAAGTGCAGTTTTGTGAATGAATTCAGAAGATGGTTAATTATGCACCCGGATTAATGGGCAACATTGTCAGGTTGGACAAAGTTCAATTCAAACTTAAACGGAACTGTCAATAGGCATAACTGCATGTATTGAACTGAAGATAATCACTCCATTACTATTGAAAAGGTTGTAAATTTGCCAAGTGTAAATGTGTAGCGTGGTCTGCCTCCCAAGAGACTTACTGGGCCTTTTTGTTTTAAAGGTACTGTAACTAGATAAAAGTGCCTAACAATGCTTGCTGATTTTATTTTCTTGCCATTTATCCAATATATATGTTTTATTACTAACAAGATGGTGCCCTGACTCATTATCACAGGGATGTGTAAGCATACCTGGATCAAAGTGTACAGTGCCAGCATATAGGTTGCACAGTATCAATCCCATTTCCTGCATGCTCTTCAGGCCTTATGCCACTCGATTTTTTTTATAAGGCACAGTGAAAGGTACAGTATACCAACATAAAACACATAATCTGAACATACTTTCATATGAGACTGAAGTGGTGTTCGCAGTAAACCCACTGGACACTTGGGTGAAAAGTTCAGAATCAGTCATGTGTTGTACTCAGAAATGTTTTGATGCTGAAGGCCACAATTTTGAACATTTACTTTAACCACCATTTGGAGCATTCAGTTTGACCAGATAGTACAATAAGTTTTCATGCTGGATTGCAGCCTTATTTTTCCTAAAAAAATTTACCTTGTAGGTTGGGAAATAAGTTTTCTATGCTGATTCAAAGTGTGTATACACTTTTTTTCTTTTTTCTTTGCACACACAAACTATATATATACGAAAGATAAAAAAAAAAGTGAATCAAATTTATAATTTAAACTCTTTAATTCTTCTCCTCTGCTTTAAAAATCGTAATAACTTCTCTGGATTGCATCATTTCTAGATCATTCCATTTTGCATTGCCTGCGCAGTGCTAATGATATAACAATTGGGAACTAAAACTTTTAACTCACACCATAACTTTTCTCTTCATGTGCTTCCATATTGCATAATTACACAATTCAGCTTTGCTCTCTACCCTGCTAAGATGTAAGTTTGCAGTCTTGCTTGCTATCGCAATAATATCAAAAACGTAAATGTTCTGTGAACAGGCATGACTAAGGTGCCAAGTTATTGTGGCCACAAAAGTCAGTTGCAAATAAAAATGGAATTAAAACTACCTCGACTGCCAAATTTCTTAGATATTACGAACTCAACATATTAGCATACTATGCTATCAGAATTCTTCCTCTTCAATATGGATCTATATATCCAATAGATCTATCCTATATAGCTATTATGCATTGATGCTGTTCCGACCTTTCCTAGCTATTATTACACATAGTCAAAAGTCGTTAATTCGGACACCCATAATCTGGAATGATCTATAATATGGACCTCAAAGCTACAAACGTTCTGCGCATACGTCGACTTGACGCATGCGCGTAAGAACTTTACGGCTGCGAATATGCATGTGCACATAATACGTTTACGCATGCGCGTTTAATGTATAACGGACAGTATAAGCTAAGCTACAATTATCTAATTCAGTTAATGTTGGAGATTGCGTTGTTCCTTAATCTTCGAATTGGATCCGGCTTATTATTTTTGCAGTTTTATAAAAGTAAGCTTGAACTTTCGATTATGTCAAATAGAATTTCCGATATACATTTACTAATATGTAAAGGATCTAAAAAGGGGGGGGACGCCGCGGCGCGCAATGAATTGGAAGTTGATCTGTCAGCACTATCCTTATCTTCAGGGCAGATGTTTTTATTTTATTTTGTGTAATTCCTTACTAAATGTAGTATTTTATCTCGATGTACTCCGTCTTTGATATGATTTAAATCAAATTCCGCGTGATTATAATTCCCTTCCGATAGTGAAGAAAGTGACATAGAGGTTATTGAAAATGAAAAAATTTTGATTGACAAATTAGTCGGTATTCTCGACACAGCAATTATAGGACTTGAACAGCAGAACTTTGTAACTGAAGAAGAAATTATGTCTGTTTATAGAATTAAAGAGAAAGTATTATCACATAAAACGAAGCAACTTAAACAACTTACATTGAAAGAAATGTTTAAAAAAGTAAACAAATAAATATTAAGCTTTTTTTTTTTTTTTTTTTTTTTTGTAAATTTTGATACCCTTTAGATCATAATTGTTCTTTATTTCATAAATTACGGTTTCATATTTTTAATTTTATAATTTCTGCATGTCATCTTACCAGATTTAAACTGATGATCTATAATCCGGAATCGCCGAAGTCCCGAAGAGTCCGAATTAACGACTTTTGACTGTATCATATATCAATATATATTATGTATATATATATACACACACACATACATTTAAAAAAAAACACTGGCTACTTTTCCATTAAAGCTATATTGGGTGATGAATTTTTCTGTTTTTGCATATTATTACTCATACTAGGGGGAAGTTTCCAAATGTTAGAAGAATTTAGTATCTTTGTTTTTATTAAAAATATTCTCATTTAGGAACATTAGCAGACTCAATTATTATAAAAAAAGGAAATCAGGAAAATTGCATAATATGCTATGAATCAAATAAATATCTTTTCCTTCAGTATAAAAATCATTAAAAAAAATTCTAATTTCTAATTTTTATAATCCCTTTATTTTTTCAAGTTTCATGTGACATGATTTTGCAACAGAATTTTATCAGCAGCATTTACAATTATGTTTTAACAAAAATAAGTAAATTTTTAATGCACTGACCATTGGGAGAACTCCAATTTGTACTAAATGTTCTACTGGTGCCAGGAATTTGTTGATCAGTTTTTGTAGCCTAGAAGAAGAAGAATATTTAATAAGAATCTCATCAATATGATACTAGAAATATTATTTATCAGGTCAAACTAATGAATTTTTAGCCTAGTAGATAAGAAATTTATCAGTATAATTTCATACAGCATCTTTCACATCTCCACAACAAATCAATAGCACTACAAGAAGCATTTGAAGTTGTAGCTCAGTGTAAAAAACCCTTCAAAGCTATTTTAAAAGTGATTGCCAAACATTTCCCACTTGAATTAAAGAAAAACTAATTGGGTCTCAGATTAATCGGGTCTTTACCAACAAAGTTAGGCAATTCTTTTCCGTTAGCATATATGTACCAAATAAACATTCGTCTATAGTAGAGGAATGAATTAATTCATTTTACATTAATTGCTTCAGGAAAAGTGTTTTGATTTATGAATGCTTAAACTGACAAATGGCCTTTTCTGAATCAGCCATTGTCCAGATAGAACATGCGCTAGCTGGAAGAATCAAAACCGAAAGTGTCTGTTACTGTAAAATAGTTCATGTTAAAAAATGTGTAAGCCAAGTCACTGAAGAACTGCATTAGCTGATCTGACTCCTGTATTTTAATGAAGCAGTATGGAACGGTATAAAATATTAAAATGTAAGTTATTTCACATACAGAAAAGTAATTTGTGTCAGGAGCACTTTAGCAGCCTTTCTGCCACAGCAGAACTGACAGAAAGACTCTAAGAGGAGAGAGAAGTTTGTGACATAAAAGTATATACGTAATGTGCAACTTTTTCTAACTGGCTGATGTGATGCATCACTCACTTGCATGAATGAAATGCTACACTATGCTTGCCTGAACTCATTTTAAATGAATATTTAATTAGCAAAATCTGAGTTAAAACAGAACACATGTAGCTTCTCTCTTGACAAACATTGTTATCCTTAAAAGCTGAAGTAAAAATTACCTTTTCATTTTCAGTAGAAACTGTTTTAATTTCTGACAAAGCAAGATCTATTCTTTCCAGTTTTGCTTTAATAAAATTCAGGGCTTCTGGAAGAGGTTCCTTCGGTTGATTACTTTGAACAGGAATAACTTTTCGACCTAAAACAAAACACGGCAGCAATGAGTTGGACATTTACTAACCCCTTTAATCCAGTGCCAGTAAACTATTACCAGGCTACTTTGTTTATGAGATGAAAATGGATTATGAGTTTAGAAGACTAACTTCATGGAAATACAAGAAGATAAACATATACGGCCGTGTGTTAACTTTAAGATCTCAAGTTCTGAGATCAGAAAATTACAAGCAACAAATTTTGTAACTAGTTCAGGAAGCAGAAATAATGTGAAGTCATAAGGAAATTCTAAAACAGATATGGGTACTGTCCGATTATCTGCTGAAGTCTGACAAAAATTACAGAGCAAAGTACTATGTCGTTTAGGCAACCAAAATTCGATGAAAATGTATTTATATGGCAATCCACTAATGGTTGTGAGCACATTATGTGGATTATAAATTCAAGGACCACGTTTGTGGTTTCCCATCTGAAGTTCTTTAGCGAAATAGGTTTTGTCTGAATTTGTGCAAATTTTTTATTTTTTATTTAAAGTTAAAACAAGTCGAAGCGTACAGGAGCGGGGGAGCAAAATATGTTTGCAAATATCGTTGCCAGATTGGCACAGCTGAAATATACACTTTATGCACCTTAAAGGTTTTAAAAATTACTGTAGAATAAATAAATAAATAAAATTAATTAAATTAAATTAAAATTAAATAAAAAATGTTTTTGTTCTTCCTTGAAGGGGATTAAGCTAAAAGTGATGGCTGGGCTACTGAGTGACTGATGTGCTGCTGCTAAGTTTTAAATCCTGTTATTGCCTTATTTTCCTTTGCCGAGTAGGCGCTGCTACTGTAGAATAACAACTATTGTTTTTTCCATTGAATACTTTGTTTGCATATTTGTACACAACTTTGTTACATCGAATTTCCAACATGAATTATCATTAAAAGCAGAGCCAAGCTGCTCTGCAGTTCTGAGACTCTTGCAATTCTATGAATTTTTTAAAGTTAAAACAGGTCAACATGTACATGAAGAGTAGAGCCAAGTTGCTCAGTGATGACGAAAATTCTGCAATTTTCTGACCTTTTTAAAAGTTAAAACAGGTTAATATGCACATGGGTAGAAGAATGAGAAAAAACAAAGTGTTTTATTACAGACGTTTGTTTCATTTCTAGTTTAGTTAATTTATTTGTTGCCATTTTATGCAATTTTCAGGTTTTTATTAAGGATATTTGATTTATGAAAATTTCACTGTTTTGTTATAGATGTTTCTGACATTTTTAATTTTGCTAATTCATTGCTGTTTTATGTAATTTTCAGCGTGCTGCCACTTTTTAAAATGGCTACTGTTTTTCATATTGTCGCGCCACGATCAAACTGCATGAGAGGTAAGTTTCTCTGTTACGGAATGGCAACGAAAAAGAGATTGTTGTTCAAAAACATCGATGATCGAACCGCGTTGTAACGATCATTTTGTGGATGTTGCGTATTGTAAAATGAACCTATTACACTGTGCTAAACAGTATTAAAATGATATATATATTAAAAGATCTTTCATCTGATCTAAATTTTAACAAACCGCTCATTATTTTCTCTTAAACTCACAATGATGTTCACGACATTTCTGGCGCCTCCGGGTGGGCGTGTTTGTTGAAACATGTCGGATGAAAGAACAGATAGGGTAAGTTGATTACCTTATACTTCCGTTTATTGATTATTGTTTTACTGAAGTTAAAAATACTTTTCTTGCCTAATTTTTATCTGAATATTTTAAACTTAAGACAAAATGGAAGTGATGAAAAGAAACAAAACTGTGCAACGTTCAGCTTTTACTAAAGCATATAAAAGACTAAATGAACTTTTAAATGATGATAATGTTGATTATGAAGATGCAGAAATGTGTTTTTATTTGTTTAAGAAAAAGGCAGAAACATTAGAATTGACGCACAGTGCTTATTTAGATACTATAACTGATGATAAAGAATTCGTAACAGAATTTGAAATAACAGAGGACTATCAAGAAAAGGCTGTTAGGATACAGTTAAAATCGGAACGATTTCTCGATAATATTAAGAGAAAATTAAACAAAAATCCAAAATACAGCATCAGAGAATAGTCAGAAATTAGTTACTGATGCAAATACATGTAAAACTTTGTGCCAACAGCTACCGAAAGTAGAACTCTATAAGTTCGCAGGTGATTTAAAAAATTGGCTTACGTTCTGGAATCAGTTTAAAAACATACATGAAAATAATAACTTAACGAATGCAAACAAATTCCATTATTTGATAGAGTCAACAAAAATTAAATCAGAAGCTAGATATTGTAGAATCATTTCCTGTGACGAATGAAAATTATCCTTTGGCTATAGAAAGCCTTACTGAGAGATATGGTCGTAAAGAACTTTTAATTGATTTTTATGTTCGAGAGTTAATAAAACTTGTTTTGGATAATGCAGCAAAAAAGAATCAGGATTCTTTGAGTAGTTTGTATAACTTTCAACACAACTTAGAACCCTGAGCAGTCTCGATGTGACAACTGATCAGTGTGGAACAATTTTATACCCTCTTGTGGAAAGTGCTACTCCTATTCAGGTATTGCGATCATTTGAAAGACAACGAAAAATTACTGAATCTGAATGAAACATTTCGAGTCTTGATGCAATAATTGAATTTCTGAAAAGCGAAGTTCAGTCAGAGGAAAAAATAAAATTAAGCAGAGCAATATTTTTTCTGTGTCTGATCGTAAGCACTTGGCAACTAGCCAAAATATTCCTTCCCCGTCGAATTTGATGAATCATGAAGCAATACCTTCTTGTTCGTTTTGCTTAAAAGATCATGAAACGCGTAACTGTAAAAAGGCACTTTATATTCCATTAGATGAAAAAACGTCTGCGGTAAAAAAGAAAGGTTTATGCAGAATATGCTTGGTTAAAGGTCACCTCAGTAACCAGTGGCGATCAAATGTTAAGAGTCAGATCTGTTCAAAAAGACATTTGAAATTTTTTTGTCCTACTCTTGAATGTAATAAGTCTAGTGAAATGCATAACCAGGAAAATGATGAGAAAAAAGAGAAAACAATCGATTCTTTGCATTCGCGTGCTACGAATGAAGTTTTCCTTCAGACCCTGATTGTAAACATAGAAGGTAAGAATAAAAGGCGTAAAATTAGATTAATGATTGATATGGGAAGCTCAAAAAGTTATGTTTTAAAGACTACCGCAGAAGAAATGGGTTTTGACTTGCAATGAGAGGAAGAATTTAGTCACTCTTTATTTGGTGGAACGAAAACTGAAATTTACAAGCATAAATGTACAAGATTTATTTGAGTAGCCTTGATGGTAAATATTTGTGTAAATTAGATGCTGTAGACCATGATGTTATTTGTAATGATATTTCAAGCATAAGATACGGTTCTTGGATTCGCAAATTAGGAAATAAAAGAATACGCTTAACTGATACCCAAGGGAATCCAGGCCCTATTAAAGTACTGTTAGGGGCAGACGTTGCAGGGAAGTTATTTACTGGCAAACGAGAAGAACTAAGAACAGGTTTAGTGGCTATAGAAACAAAATTGGGTTGGAATTTGATGGGTAAAGTACCTCAATCCGAACATCAGCACAATGTAAATATGACTGTAGTTTCTATGTTATCTATTTCATTATTATGGGACTTAGAATTATTGGGTATCTGAGATCCTGTTGAACAAAAAACTAAAGAGAGTCAAGAAGAGCTATTAGGTTTCATTTCCAAGAAACAGTTCGTCAATTAGAAAATGGTAGATACGAGGTTGATATGCCTTGGAAGATTGAGCATGCAGTCTTACCTGACAATTATGACCTATCTTTGAAAAGACTCGAATCTACTACGAAGAAGTTGGAAAAAATCGGATATCGTGAAAAGTATCACGAAGTGTTTAATGAATGGCTGCAGGAAGGAGTGATTGAAGAAGTTCCCCAAAAAGGAGTTGTCTTTACCTGTTGTTCATTACCTCCCACATCGTCCAGTCATTAAGGAAACATCCTCACTATCTTCCATGAAAATTAGACCCGTTTTTGATGCTTTGGCAAAGCTTCCTAATCAGCCATCTCTAAATGACTGTTCAGAGACCGGAATTAATTTGATTGAAACTATTCCCTCTATTCTAGCAAGATTTCACTTACATGAAATTGGCGTGATTTCAGACATCAGAAGAGCTTTTTTACAGATATCTTTAAATGAAAGAGATCGAGATTTTTTACGATTTCTTTGGTATGGTGATGATGGTAGAGTGAAGACATTTCGTCACACCCGTGTGGTATTTGGCATTACTTGTAGTCCATTTTTGCTAATGGCAGTTATTGGCCATCATTTATCCAAAGAATCCTGGCAGAAAAATATTCTGAAGAATTTCTTAAAAAATTATAAGATAGTTTTTATGTTGATAATTGTGTAACTAGTGTACAAAATAATGCCAAACTAGAAATATTCATCGAATCTGCAACTAATGTAATGAAAGAAGGAATGTTTGATCTCAGAGGATGGGAAAGTTCTAGCATTCCAGCATTTTCAGAAAGTACAACATCACCGGTATTAGGGCTGATTTGGGACAAAGATTTAGATACCTTAGAAATAGATACCGAATTTTTGAAATTTGATGAAAGAGAAAAGATAACTAAAAGGAAAATACTTTCACTAGTTAGTCGAGTATTTGATCCCATAGTTTTCCTTGCACCTGTTATGATTCAGGATAAGATTTTGCTGCATGTCGCTTAGAAGAGCAAAGAATCATAGGATGATGAAGTGAATGATGAAATAAAGAAGAAATTTTTAAAATGGGGAAAACAACTGAAATACTTCAAAAATATAAAAATTCCAAGATGGTTAGGTGTGTTGAAGGAATCCAATTTAAGTATACATACTTTTGTCGATGCCAGTAAGACAGCTTATGCGGCATGCATTTTCTTAAGAAGTGAATCCAGTATGGGTTCTGTGACTGTTCAATTACTTCAAGCCAAATCACGAATAACTCCAACGAAGACTATTACTATACCACGTCTTGAATTAATGGCCGCTACCATAGGTGCTAGGCTGTTTAGTTCTGTGAAGCAAGCTCTGAAACTTCCCAACATCAAGACTTAGTTTTGGACAGATTCTTCCACAGTTCTTGTGTGGATAACTCGTTGAGAACAGTGGTCAGTATTCGTTACAAACAGAATAAGTGAACAGTCACTGAACACTGAATAAGTGAAATTAGAAAATTGACAACTTCGGAAGATTGGTTCCATATTTCAACTGATCAGAATCCAGCAGACATTTTATCAAGAGGTTGTGGACCTAGGCAACTTCAGAAACACAAATGGTGGCAAGGGCCAGCCTGGTTGAAGAATTCGAAAGAGCAGTGGCCAAAGTCAGCTGTAAATATTAACGAGAAAGAAGTACAGATAGAGAAACGAAAGTCAGTCATCTCTGCTAGTAATACAGAGCTAGAGTCAATTCCATTACAGTTAGCCAGAAGATTCTCTAAATTTTCAAAGATGATTAAGGTTATGGCTTGGATACTGCATTTTCAACCAAAGGCCAAGGACTTGAGAAAATGTAAGGAACTTCAAAATGAAGAATTGTTAAATGCACAAAGGATTACGAGGGCTATCCAGAAAGTAGATTACGTTTTGGAATAAAAAAATAAACAAAGTATAGGAAACAAATTTTATTATATACAGATGAAAGCCACACTCAAATACTACTTTTCTACATAGTCACCATACAAATTAAGGCATTTATCATAGCGATGTACGAGCTTGGAAATTCCTTCGTCGAAAAATTCGGCCGCCTGCGCCTTCAACCACTTCGTTACCTCTTCTTGCCTTCCATCTTGCACAAAACTTGTGGTAACCAAGCTTTTCGCTGATGATTTCGTGCAACAAACTTCGCGAAATTTGTGGAAAACTCAAAGAAAGTTCCGTTATTGTGAAATTTCGATTTTCACGGACTTTAGCATTGACTTTTTCGAGAAGTTCGGCAGTCACTATGTTGGGTCTCCCACTTCGATCTTCGTCGTGAACATTGGTTCGGCCATTTTGAAATCTTATGACCCACTGACGCACTCCACCTTCAGTGATAATGTTGTCCCCATACACTTCACGAAGCTGCCGATAGATTTCTATCGGTTTACAGTTTTTTGCAGTCAGAAACCTTATTACTGAGCGCACCTCGCAGCTCGCGGGATTTTCAATTAACGCAGACATTTCAAACCGTCACAGTATCTGAACGGAGCACAGCACGAACCTCTCACTAGCACGGCTAGATGCAGACTGAGCTGCGCAACGCTCTGACCCCAAGATGGCCGCGCTAGCCCCGCCCCTAGCGGACACAGACGGAAACGTAATCTACTTCCTGGATGGCCCTCGTATTTTCCGTGTAATACAAAAGGAATGTTACTCTAATGAAGAAACGCGAAAAAATTTAAAAGGTCTTCTAATATTTGAAGATGAAGAAGGAATTTTACGATTGAAGTCCAGATTGATAAATGAGGAAGAATCGAAAGATTTTATTTCTCCAATAATTCTAGATCGAAACACCTTGCAGTGAAAAGATTAATAGCCCAAGAACATATTGCCAACAAACATGCTGGGACATTAACTCTATTGACTATTTTACGGAAAAGATTTTGGATAGTGAAAGGAAAAAGAACTGTCCGGAGTGTTATCAAAGAATGCTTAACATGTAAAAGGCAAAAGGTAAAACATTCCTGAGGTACCTTTTCCGCCTCTTCCAAAAGACCGAACAGAAGTAGCAGCAGTTTTTCAAGTATCAGGTGTAGATATAGCTGGACCTTTGTTGACTAAATCTAAACAAAAGGTGTGGATAGTACTTTTTACTTGCGCCGTATTTAGAGCTGTCCATCTTGAACTAATACCTTCACTTAGTACCAATGACTTCATCCAAGTTATGCGTAGGTTTATAGCCAGAAGAGGACGAGTTTCTGTGACGTATTCAGACAATGGTACTAATTTTACAGGACTAAACAATGCTCTGAAACAATTAGATTGGACCACAACTGAAAGTGAATTTAGAGTTAACGAAATTCGTTGGAAGTTTAACCCACCCTCCTCTCCATGGTGGGGAGGCTTCTGGGAACGTTTCATTGGGATTTTGAAAGATCTTTTAAGAAAAAAAATCTTGGATATTCCTGTTTGTCTTAAGAGGAATTGCAGACTCTCGTCTGTGAATGCAAATCTGTCATGAACAGCAGACCGTTAACTTACATATCCGAGGAGCAAGATCTGAAGACCTTGACCGCCTCAGTGTTTCTTCAGGACATTCCATTAAATGATGTTCCTGATTTAGATCAAATTGAAAAGACTAATATTGTCTTGAGATGAAGATATATTCAAAAGGTTCGTGAAAATCTAAAACGAAGGTTTAAAAGGGAGTATCTGGGTTTCCTTCGTTCTTCAGTTAACAAAAGAGAAGATAAAATACATGTAGGTGACATAGTGTTAATTGGTACAGATGATAAAAAAAGGCTGCATTGGCTGCTAGGGAGAGTACTGGAACTCTTTACAGGAAAAGATGGAATCATCAAACTTGTGAAACTATGAACTGAAAAGGGAAACATATTAAGACCAATCCAACAACTGTACCCTTTGGAATTGACACCAAATTACGAGCAAGTCGTATCAGAACCTCAGAAGATTCCGGAAGTGGTAGCTGAAAATCCTGAGCTTAATACTGACTCTAATGAAACTGTTCGCGTGTCTCGCTCAGGACGAAAAATAAAACCAGTTAAAAGACTGGATTTATAAACTTCTAAACAAACTTTTGAACTTTCTGTGTTTGAACTCTAAAATATTGATTTCAATTTGCATTCTAATATTTTGAAATATTTCTATTATTATTTGTACGTTATTGTTATCTGAAATTGTATGTATGTATTATCATGATGTTACTGTTTTGAGTTTGTATCCCCAAACTCAAGGTGGGGAGAATGTCGCGCCACGATCAAACTGCATGAGAGGTAAGTTTCTCTGTTACGGAATGGCAACGAAAAGAGATTGTTGTTCAAAAAGATGGATGATCGAACTGCGTTGTAACGATCATTTTTGTGGATGTTGCGTATTGTAAAATGAACCTATTACACTGTGCTAAATAGTATTAAAATGCTATATATTAAAAGATCTTTCATCTAATCTAAATTTTAACAAACCACCCATTATTTTCTCTTAAACTTACAATGATGTTCGCGACACATATGTCAGGCTAACAAAAGATTAGTTGCCAATGACAAGCAACTTTGTAAGAGGGTTGTCTAGTTAATCAGAGAGTACCCAGATGTTGAATGTGTTATATCGAAATTGAAAATAACATAAATTAAGAGTATTTCAGATTTTGAATTTACTTACAAACATATTATGTTTCACAACAAAAACAATGAAACCTCCTTAAGATGGTCATCAAAGATTAGTGGTTGCATTAGAAAACATGAATATTTGTGATGTTTAATACAAATTCATTCAAGTTTTTGGAAATACTGCTAATTTTCAGAAGTGACTGTCTACAAGATATTTAGCCATCAGATTTCACTATATTTTTAATTATTACCAATAATAATAAACATTAAAACAAACTAACACAAAAGAACTTTCTAAAATACCACTCAAAAGTAAATTTAACAATTATGTAAGTTAAATATAAATTTGAATAAATAATTATTGAAAATGTCTTAAGATCAAATAAAGAGAGAGATACAAGGATATAAAAGAACTATAAAGGAAATGAACACAACAGGCTATTAAAAATGTTCTCATTTGAAAGCTGGACAATAGGTAAATACTATTCCTTAAAGCAGTCATTGAATTCACAAGATATCATTCCAGTAAATTTGTAATTTATGTTTTTTAGTAAATCATGAAAATGGTTAAAATATACCTGAGTTCGTTAGTGTTTTAGAAGCAGCTTGAATTCCAACATCTTTTACTGTTTTTTTACCAGCAGAACTTGAGACTACATTTTTCTTACAAAATTCTTCCCATTCATAATCTTCTTTCTGAAGTAAGAACAGTTGTCGAGCTTTAAATTGGAAATATCGCATCTCATTATCTGTAATTCTAGGTGCAGCCATTAAGTATTGTCAAGAATTCATAGCATCTATTGATTCCAGTCCTACCTTTAGAATACCTAGAAAACAATGTTGTGGCAAAATTATATCATTTCAAATTTTTAATGCATCAAAAATTATTTAAAACTAAAATGGAAATAAATATTTATCATACTTTTAGTAAATGTGGTTACATCAAACTTTATCATTAAATATTCAGTATAAGGTGTTCATTAAAAAATTTACCCCTAACAGACTGGAATTTCATATATCAGGGAAGGTTTTTTTTATGACCAGCCTTGCCCTCTGTAGCAACTCTGGCAAGAAAGTGGATGCAGCACATTTCTGCATTGGCGAGAAACAAATGGTTACAAATCTGTGCATGTGCAAGAAATACATGGTTGTTGATTTAACAGTTTTTTTATAATAGCATTATGTAAATACAAAGTCCGAAATCCGGCGATTCCGGATTTGGGATTTTTCCGGATATTAGTTCATCAGATTAAATCTAGTAAGATGGCATGTAGAAATTATAAAATTAAAAATGTGAATCGTGATTTATGAACTAAAGGGTATCAAAATTTACAAAAAAAGTTTAATATTTATTTGTTTACCTTATTAAACATTTCTTTTAATGTAAGTTGTTTAAGTTGCTTTGTTTTTTTGTGCTAATACTCTCTTTTTAATTCTGTAAACAGACATAATCTCTTGTTTAGTTACATCCTTGAAGTCCTGTAACTGCTGTTTCGAGAATTCTGACTAACTTGTCAATCGAAATTTTCTCGTTTTCAGTAACTTCTCTGTCACTTTCTTCACTATCAGTAGTGGTATTTTCACGATCTAGAACAGTACTACAGATTTTGCCATTCATTAATTGATTGATGATTGAGAAGTGTTGTCATCAAAATGAAAAACTTCTTTTCTACCATCTTCATTTATTACCACTTTACCACATTTCTTTACAAAATTCGTTAATTGGAAAATTTCACCTTCGCTTTGCGATATGCGAAAACCTTTAAAATTGGCGGCTATCATCATCAAATTTAGCTATCCTTCACTATACATATTTGGCTATGCATCATGAGCTTGCAGACTAACGACAAGTTGTTCCGTTAAATTTTATCTTGCTTCTATCGCACCCTTAGACAATTAAACCTGAATTGTATTAGTTATTTATTATACTTATGTCTATTTTTTGCACATGCTTAAGGCTTCCCAGAGTTCTGAATAAATAAATTCTCACATATACTTAATTATACTTGTTAGGATTTAGGAACGGGGAAGACGGGCACCACACCTTTACCATTTGGTTAATTGGTTTAGCGCCGCCTCCCCACTACGTGATCCCAGCCGTTTATTGATATTAGCAAACAGATACATAAATTGAGGGCAGGTGCTAGATAATATCTTACTGCCTGATGCGGTCTCTGTGGGTCCTAAATTCTGTGACTCGGCGTGACTATACGAGCCCTGGCACTGGTTCTGGGTTTATGTGAATAACAAATCAGTTATTCTTAATTCAAATAGCCCTAAATGTAATCTTTGAGTTTATGAGTATCATCAACAAAATCTATTTTTAGCATATGGAAAGAAATATTTGGTAAATTTTCCTTGTCAACATTTTTTAGTGCATTTAACTTAAATCTGTAGTTATTGCCAAGTGTAATGTCAACATAAAAGGTTACCATACTCCTTTATTATTCAATTACTAACATAAAAAATTTGTTTAGGCATCGCTACATGAGTCATTACTCAAGTTGTCATGTTTTGATAAACAAGCAGTGATGAAAAGAAAGTATAATAAAAGTAATGATTCGCCAGGTTGGCGTCGGTCAGATGAACGATGTATCTATGCGGAATGTTTCGGTTTGAGATAGGTGCCACGCAGATACACAGCAATGGAGCTAAATTACTGATTGTACAAATTTATGCTAAAATGATTTTTTCTTCAATAATAAGGTATTTAATTTAGTGTCAAAGCGAAATTAAGAATTCTGCACTCTCGAGATGTTTTATTATGCGCAGAGGGGGGAATCAAATGGGCATGTGTAAAACCTACCAGAAAATTGTTGGTTGTTTTGAGGTCCGGATTTTAGATCATTCCGGATAATGGACGTCTCGATTTCGGACTTTGTACTGTATGATAAAATACTTTGTAAAATACTTCTTATGTTTACTATTTCCAGTCTTTTATCAGTAGAAAAGAAGCTAGAGTTAATGCCTCAGGCATTATTGGCAGCAGTTACAGAACATTGATGAGTCAAAACAAAATGACCATCCCCATATTTTTCAATGAACTTGTTTGGATGATGTGGAGGGCACATGATTAAGTGGGAATGATATTTAACTGGTACTGAAGAAGGTAAGGAATCATTCTTACCTGATTCTATTTTTGCTAGCGATGGAAAAGGCTGCTGATCTAAGCGAATTTGATAGAGAGCAGATTGTAATGGCCTTGAAGACTTAGAATGAGCATCTCCGAAACTGTACGATTGGTAGGTTGTTCATGATCTGCCATTTTTAATATCTATGCTAATAATGGCAGAAGAAATGGATAAATTACGGTGAGATCAGCAATAGAAGCCAAGGTGTTGAATCCACGTATAATCAAAGAAAAAGGACGTCAAAGATTGTCTTGCTTGATACAGCAAAATCAGCATCAGATAGTGGCTCAACTGGCAGCCCAATACAATGCAGGTCCAAGTGCAAGTGTTTCAGAACACACAGTTCAGGGGACACTGTTGGATATAGGACTGCGCAGTAGACATTTCACTCATGTGCCAAGCATCATTGTAAACTATGGCTACAGTGGGCTTGGGAACACGGAGACTGTACCATGGATAAGTGGAAAACAGTTGCCTGGTCAGATGAATTACAATTTCTCATTCATCACATCAATGATTGTGTCAGAGCACATGACCTTCCAGGCGAACAGTTGCTCTCTCCCCTGTGCAGCAGGTCATACACAGGCTGGTGGTGGCAGCATTATGCTTTGGGGGATGTTCTCATGGGTGACCAGTGGGACCCATAGTTGTTGTAGAGAGACCATGAAAGCTGCGTATTATGGATAATACATTCAGAAATAAAACTACGGATCAGCTTCACCCTTACATAGCATCCGTCTTCCCAACTGAAAATGAAATCTTCCAGCAGGACAACGCTTCGACTCACAAGATTCAAACTGTGTTGGAGTGGTTCAAGGAGCATAGGAATGAATTCCAATTAATGTCCTAGCCACCTAACTCGATGGATCTTAACCCAATAGAGCACATGCTACAACCTGTTTCCAATCATATACAGTCAAAAGTCGTTAATCCGGATGTCCATAATCCAGAATGATCAATAATCCGGACCTCAAAGCTACAAACTTTCTGCGCATGCGCATTTGCACATGCACATAATACTTTTACGCATGTGCATATGCATGCGTGTTTAATGTATAACGGAAGGTATAAGCTAAGCTAAAATTATCTAATTATCTATTTCAGTTAATGTTGCTGAATGCGTTGTTCCTTAATCTTCGAATCGGATCCGGCTTATTATTTTTTGCAGATTGTTAGAGCAATTTTATAAAAGTAAGCTTGAACTTTCGATTATGTCAAAATTTCTGATTCTGAAGCTACCAAAGGATCTAGAAAGCGAAAGCATGTTTCGATGTCCCTCAAACAAAAAGTGGAATTGCTGCAAAAAATGAATAAAGGCATATCCTTTGTTTCTCTAACTATTCCGAAATCTGTTTATCAATTTCACGCGGCTCTGCCGGGGGGGGGGGGACGTCGCGGTGCGCAATAAACTCAAATTTGATCTGTCAGCACTATCCTTATCTTCAGGGCAGATTTTTTATTCTATTCGGCTTATAATTTTTTACTAAATGTAGTATTTCATCTCGATGTACTCTGTCTTTGATATTATTTAAATCAAATTCTTCGTCATTATAAATATCACGAATACACATCAAATAGTTTTCTGGTTGCAATTTTCTAATTTCGGCTATGCGCAATGTATGCTTTACGCATGCGCGCGTTGAAAGAAATGTTTTATAAAGTAAACAAATAAATATTAAGCTTTTTTTTTTTTTGTAAATTTTGATACCCTTTAGATCATAATTGCTCTTTATTTCATAAATTACGATTTCATATTTTTAATTTTATAATTTCTCCATGCCATCTTACCAGATTTAAATTGATGATCTATAATCCGGAAAAACCGATAATCCGGAATCGCCGAAGTCCCGACGAGTCCGGATTAAATACTTTTGACTGTACCAAGAACTTGTGGCATTCATGCCAAGGCAGGTTACAGCTGTTTTGCAGGCCAAAGGCCACACAACATATTATTGAGTAGGTTGTCTTAATGTTTTGTCTATTCGTTGTATCTAATTTTCCAGTACGTTTTGCAAGCTGCATTTTAAAAATAAACTGCTAACAAAATTTTATTAAATTAAGTAATAAATTTTGCAGTACATTTATATATATTGTTATTTTAAATAAATTGCTTATCTAATTATACTAAATATGATATTAATATCTATATTAAATAAGTTCTGGTGAACTATGTTATTTCATATAAAGTGTTGACAAAATTGTATAAAATACTATAATAAATAAAAATTTATACTAAATTCTTTTTATAGATATATAATTTATATTTTGCAGATATTGAATGAATTACTGTTTACCATGACCAATTACATTTTCATGCATGCTTATAACATTTGGTAATAAAGCAGACTTTCTTGATCTCAAATTGTGTCGATCTCATTTTCTCTCACCAAGTCTGCTACAAAAGACAAGTACTCAATATTTTAATAAAACTTTAGAGATAAATAACTAGTGATCAGCTGAATAACAGCAAAACGGAGAGGAAGAAAAATTATGTTACTGGAAAAAGAGACTTTTTTTTTCCTTTAAAAAAATAAACAATGATAAATAACATTTCTAAATACCAAAATAAGTAATATTTGCTAATACAGTCAAAAGTCGTTAATCCGGACTCGTCAAGACTTCGGCGATTCCGGATTATTGATTTTTCCGGATTATAGATCATCAGTTTAAATATGGTAAGATGGCATGCAGAAATT